CTTCCTCCTTTTCACTGACCCTCCAATTTTCCAAGCATAATGTCCCTCTCCAAGGAATAGCCTTTCCTAACAACATTCCCAAACTGTGAGAAATAAAGCTTTGCTTCCAATGAGCACTATGTCTCCAACAAGTCCTATGACTGCTTCTTTCAAGAGATGTGTTTGTTCTTTTGGCAGTCGATGGCATGTTCAGCATTCATCTCTAACACTGCAACTCAAAGGCACTGATTCTTCTCCTGTCATCCTTATTTATTGTATTGCTCTCAGATGTATACCATGTGATCAGAAAGCTACACCTTTGCCTTTAAACTGGCCTCTAGGCAAATGTTAAGGGTTTGGACCTACTAAAGATACAGGATAGTTTGCAAATAATGTAAGTAAATATTAATAAGGGAGGCAAGTAACCTTTTTGTGATAGAGCTATCAGATAAGGTATATGGAATGCTAACAAGGGGATTGGTTGGTTTTGCCATTCTAATAGACTTAAAAGGAATCCTTTCAAAGGTAGAAACGTGGATCTGACTACAATCAAGAAAGACAGTTCAAAAGTGAGTCCTTTAACACACAGATCCCAGTAATCCTCTTGGAGTCATGAAACAGAGAGCAATGACAACAAAGACACAGCAATCTGATGAGAAGTAGTGGCTGAAAAATTACAGCAGCACAAGCAGGAAACCAGCAAGTGAAAGAGCACCAGGCTTCGCCGTACACAGAGTAAGAAAACTGAGAGCTTTTAGGTAGGAGCCCTGCTGGCAGAGTGAGGCTCCTCTGGCTACTTGCTGGACCTGGCCGTTTGCTGACCCACAGAGCTAAACTTTTGGGCCAAGTAGGGTGCCTCGCTAGAAACCAACATCAGTAGAGTTTGTCCTGGTAGAAGAACTGCTTTTTGAGTCATTCAATAGTTCAATCTGGAATTATAGTCTATTATTTCCTAGTAAATTCTGTAACTATGAGGACTGTCTCTGTTGTGTATAATTCTACTATAATGAATTTTCAAAGCCAGTGGAGAAGCAGACCACTGGAGAAGCTGGTGTCAGAACTGGTAAAAGAATGAAAGGGGGGAAAACAGCCAACCTCTATATCCACTGGCGTTGAGTTATTGATGTTGTTTCTCTCCACTAAAGTTATAGGCCAGATGGCAACACTTTTTCAACATACCATTTTTCAACCAACTTTGCCCGACTATATATACAAATCCCTTGTCACTGAGTCAAATGATTTCATTAGTTCACATCCCTGGATGATATAAACAGCTCACAAGCTCAGATTTCTAACTAAATGTTAGGTGTTTGGATCGACAGAAATATCTTCCTAAAAAGAGATGAAAACCTACTTTTGAAAAATCAATCTGTGAAAAATCCTATGGAACACAGTTCAGCTCTGACACACATCAGCTCTGGTGGCCTAGTGGTAAAGAGTTACTCTACCAACCAAAAGGCAAATGGTTCAAATCCACCAGCTGCTTTCTGCGAGAAAGATGGGCAATCACCTCCCATGTGATTTTTGTTACTGTTATTTATCACTGAGTTAACTGTTACTCACAGCAACCCTATGAACAATGAATCTGAACTGACCTTTCTTAGGCCATCTCCCCCACCTCCGACACACTCGAAGCCCACTGTTACAGTGATTATGCCAATCCATCTGGTTGAGGGTCTCCCTCTCTTACTTTGAATTTCTATCTTTCCAAGTATGATGCCTCCCTCCAAGACTGGCCTCTCCTAACAACACACCCAAAGTATTACATGTGATTTACAGCCTCTGAAGATCAGCTATAAATTGGTTCCAACTGGATGGCACTTAACAACAACAGGATTAGGGGGAAAGGAATTTATGTTAACAGCAAAGGGAGGCAAGAATGGTTGCACAACTCCAAGAGTACGCAATCACTGTCACCGAGTTCATACAGCTGAGTCAAGTACAACTCAAAGAACCAACAGCAGATCTGCATCTTGTCCTATGCTGCACCAGGCTCATCATCCATACGTAGCAAACTGGAGCCCCCTGCTACAGTCATTGTGTCAATCCAGCTCATGGTGGGTCTTCCCAATGAGCATGTGTGAAATGTTTCAAAAGAAAGAAAATAGGAAAGATCTAATGGGGACCTGAGAAGACAGGGTTACAGTAGGCACAGAGCAATGGTGATTCATTTTATTAAACACAATGTATAAGAATGATCATATGAAAAACAACGTGAAAGAAACAGTGTGTGCCGCACAATGTACATGAATGCAACACAATACAATGTACATGAATTTCATGAGCAAACCAATACAAAAGGATAAAAACCACAAAAATAAAATTTAAAAGTATATCTTATCTATGTGTAGGTATTCACAGTACTCACAACTGTGCCTGCCACCAACTGAAAAAAATTCAAATAGCAGTGTTTACAAATCTCACAAAGTATTGTTTCCATTCATCTTGTACATGTAGAAACTATCAAAACAGTGTGCATATTATTAACAACTACAAAATAAAGAAACATATCTTGTTGTTGAGTATCATCGCATCCAAACTGATCGGCAGCTGACCCTCCAGCAGGTTTTCATTGACAGTCAATCGGCGTGGGTGTTGACTGCCCATCTTTCTCCCGTGGGGTAGCTAGGAATTTGGAGCACGTCCCTTTAGGGTGACAGCACAGCTCCTTACGGATAGCAAATGCTCATGTCACCATCTCCCCAAATTACTTTTGATACTCTGGCAAAGTTTGGCTGCAAGTGTTAATGTATGTATGTATACAATGAAAAACTTGGAACAGTGTAGAAAGGCTAAGAATAGGCATCAATTCATGTATACAGATGCCCACTGTACTGTTCTTTTCAAAAATCCTGTTCATATGAAATGTTTTTAAAAGAAAAATAAAATTTAAAAATGTACATATGTTTAAGTATTCATTTACAGTATTCATGACTTTGTCACTAATTTTAAAAGTTCATGTAACAGTTGTTACAAAGATCATGAAACATGATTTACATTCATTCTCTTTAAATTACAGCGATTATATATATACTATACTATAAAGAAATAATAGTAAACTTGAGGAAAATCTTTTAATAATTGACAAGAACTCAAACTCATTGTCCTAAGTCACAAATGACTCACAGCTGATCGTCCATTTGGCATTTGATACTGTAAACGCATCGTAGGAAAATGCCCATCTCATGATTTTTAACAGCCAGATAGGCACAGGCTTTGGATTTAGCATCCTAACTCCTTATGGACTAACCAAACAAAGCAACCAGAGTCCCCTCAATAAGTAAAAAATTATACAAAATTGACTGGCTTTCTCCCCTCACACCCAGTTTCTAGACATACAATTTAAAAAAAAAGCAAGAAATTAACTCAAAACTTGAAAGCATAAAAGTGAGCAGACCTAAAATTTGATCACAGATTAAGATCATTTTTGAAGGGTTTATGTTATATCTGAAAGATTTTTCTCCCAGAAGGCATGCTATCTGTCTGCTAGCACTCTTATGGCGGTGGAGTTATTAATGTGCTTTCAAGTTGGAACTGACCATTAGTAAGCGTTCTCAGGCTTTAAGAGGCAGTAAATCACAAGGGAAGAGACTATCTATCTCCCACAGAGCAGCTAGTAGATTCCAATGGCTGGCTTTGGGGTTGGCAGCACAACTCCTACCAGGAGGCCACCAGCGCCCTCTAACCCAAAGGTAGGCGGTTTGAATCCATCAGTTCTGATGGGGGGGGATCAGTAATCTCCTGCCCTCCAATTTAAAGCTTCTGAAAACCAGCTGAAGGGTTAGCTATGATTTGGTAACTGACACAAAGGTAATAAGCCACTACCATCATTGGGTTTACAATGGGTAGATTTTTTTTGAGAAGTACATGATGATGCCTTTCTTTCAAGATGTCCCTGGATGGATTCAAATGTCTACACTTTTAGTTACCAGCCAAAAGCATCAACTATTTGGTCCACTTAGAGATTTCAAAGCCCTATTCCACAGATACTGTTAGTATTCTCTCTTTAAAAGATGAGGATACCTAGTGATTTCAAAGCCCTAATACATAGATTCTGTCATTATTCACTATTTAAAAGATAAGGAAAATGAAGCAAAGAGAAAAGTTATATAACTAGACCAAAGTCACACCAACTCTTGACAGATGTCAAGATCCTAGTCCAGATAGTCTACAAGACACTTAATAGTATTACTGTACTCTGATCTTAATTCTTAATTATGCTTTTTATTCATCATTAACATTTTTCATTTTTATAAACAGGTTTTATGACAGGAATGATAATAAACTGCTGATTCTAGTTGTTCCTTGCAAAGAGTGTAAGAAAAATATATTTTAATATATTACTTCTGTGATTTTAAATTATTATAAAGGATTTCTATTCTCTTAAATATACTACTGAACTGTTTTACAAAATACCTGTATCAAATAACAAATTCACTTAAGTATCAAGTTTACCACACATTTTCCAGCACTAACATTCAAAAACAAGCTTTTTAGGTAAAAAACTTTTTAGATGAAATGTTTCAAATTATATTTTCATTAGGATTATACACTATTCTGTTTTCAATAATCTACTTTCTCTTTTATGACTTTCCAACCTCATATAGTGATCAGTCAAGATATTAAAATTTTGCTATTAATTTGTATGAGCTTTTTATAACAACGTTAACTGCATCATCATATTTGCAACAGAATTTGTCCAATCTGTTCTACTTTTAATCATGGTTACTGTTTTAAGTTTTTGTTTGGTTTGATAAAATATCTTTATGTTAAAGGCACTTAATTTTCTCAAAGTCTTAAAATCTTAAGATTTTCTAAATATAAAAACTGGTCTGTTGCTTTGAGCACATTTAAACACTTTCCAATTGAAACTGTAAAAGAAATAGAAACTTATGTAAAACACACATTCACTTAACATACTTCAGAGCTTTAGAGATCTGGGGGAATTTCCATACAATTAAGTCCACAATCATAGCCCACCCTGCTCCAAATACGGAACATAAAAGCCAAAAGTCACATACCTGTCTCTGTAAACATAGGCGATTTCTGTCGTGTAAATGCTGATGATTTGAAAGCGATGGATGCCAACTCTGAGTTTGACTTGGCAACTGAGCATGAGCCATATCCGAAGACCGTGGGAGGAGATGTGAAGTAAACTGGTGATCAAGGTCATGATCTAAGACATGACTTGAACTATCTTGCTCAAACGTTGACTCATCAAACTGAGGAAGGAGACCCTCCTGAAGAAGATCTTCTGGGTCAAGGCCTGTGAATGGCTCAGTGTGAGAGTCCACTTGATGAAGTAAATTCTCTTCTAAAGATGAAAAGCCATTAGTTTCTGCATGATCGTTGAAACCCATTTGAGTTCCTGAATCAACAGGATCTGGGAAGTTCATGTGCACAGGAGATAATTTTGAATTGCTATAATTACCCTGAGGATGTGACGAATGCAACATTTGGAAATTATTAGAATTCAATGATGTATTAGGGTTTAGGACATGCTGAGTAGATTCTTGCTTGATTCCTCTGTGAGGTGAAAAGGAATTACTTCCAGAAAAATCAGATAAAGTCTGATTTGTATGATTAGATGCAAGACCTGTAGAGGACTGAAGACGGCTGTTTGATGATACATGATTACTGGGAAAGGAGTAATGGGAAGAAAACGGCTGTGAATTACTGACAGAACAAGAAGTCATATTTGGAGAAGGTCCATTATAATTTCCTTCCTGGTGATTGGTACACTTGAGGAAGTGTATTGAAGGATTTGACGTTTGAGAAAATTGCTGCATCGAAAGAGACTGCTGTGAAGTAGATACATTGGTAATCTGTGGTGGGTGGTTAACAGTGACTCGATGGGGACCAGAAATATTAACATCCATAAAATTTTTGGACTGGCTAAGAGAGTTTTGCCCTGGGTTTAGATTATTCCTGTTCTGTTGTGAGCGTAGTGACGTACACTGTGTTTGCTGTTCATTGGCCTGAAATAAGGCAAAGTCATGGTGTGCCACAAAGGTTTTCGTTTGATGCATAGAATGTGAATGTCCTTGTTGGTGAAAAGGAGAGCCGTTTTGATTTGAAATGCTAGTAGCTGTCTGGTGGCCCCACATTGGACTCCCATCAGCTACATCTGGAAACAAACCGTTGGACTGATTTTGGGGGTGGATCGGTGAGCAATTAAACTGAGAGTGTGGAGACAAAACATGTTCAGCAGGGCTACCAAAAGACTGATTAACTTGATGGAATTTCAGTGAATCAAACTGATTTAACTGTTCGAAATCAGTCATCTTCTGATGAGTTGAAGTGCCCTGAACATGGTTCAGTGAGTCTATGTGCAAAGGTTCAAATTCTGCACCCAAGTTCAATTCATCAACTAGTGAAACACGTCCTGGTTGTACAAATGCATCATCTGACAAACCTTCTAAGGTCTCGCTAAAAAGATTGGCATCATCAAAAAAGTCCATCATTGGATCTGTCATCTTGAAACGTCAATAAAAATCTGGCTGTTCACTCCAAATGGAGTCTATATATACCTTCTATCCAGCAGATATCACATCATTTCCGAAGGTCATTCACTAACACAAAACAGGTGAATGGTCAGTATTGCTCTAGATAATGACATGGCATGAAGTGTCAGAATCCTAGGAGAAAAAAATAAGAAAAAAGGTAATGTAAATTTAATAGCGAATATTTGTCATAATTAAGTTTATATATGATTTGTACCCCCCAAATTACATTTCTGTGTATAGTATTTTGTGCTGTAGATAATTCATTACAAAGTACTGTTGCTGTTAGGTGTCACTGAGTCAACTATGACTCACAGTGACCCTGATGAACAACAAATCACACCTCGGCCCTATCCTACTTCATCCTCATGGTCTCTGATATTTTCAATCCCATGACTCCAGCCCTCTGTCAATCCACCTTTTTTTAATTCTCTTTCTCTGTCCTGCCACTGTTCAGAGGATGATGTCTTTTTCCAAGGACTGGTTACTCCTAATAACATGTTAAAAGTATGTGAGACTAAGTCTCACCACCCTTGCCTTCAAAGAGCCCCAAAACAGACTGGTTTGGTTTTCTCTAAGTCACTGCATATAGTTCTTTAATAATTCCTACAACTTTAAAAGTCTCCTGAAGGACAGAGCTATATACATTTTGAAACATTAATGCACATTACTTCATTCTGACATTCATGTATTATGATACAAGACATTGGCGTAAGACTAGGAACAGTATGTCAAATTCAGTCTCACGTCCCAGTAGCACAGGCTAATGTATTATATTTATATATATATATATATATGAACTACAATTTAAAGTTAGGTCTTCTTAAAAGATAGTGGGCATCAGACTCTCTCAGATTAGTAAATTCATTAGGAACACAAATCCTAGACTTCTTTGGTCAGATAATCCAGCATTCATAGGGTGTATATAAAAATCTAAAAAAAAAAAAAGGTAAATGCATGATAAACTGACCCAAAAAGAACATCAGTGCACAGTAAGAGAACAGACAGCATCAACAATTATTATGTTGGGGATTTCTCTCTGCATTGCTTCCCTGGTTTTGTTGTTCTACTACTATGAAAATCATCCTTCCTATTAACTGATTTGGACAACTATGAAGCAAAAGAAAGTAAACTACTACTGAAATCTGTATTCATTTCTTCATCTAAGAGCCTCACTATACAATGACTTGGAATATATGACATTAGTTATTACATATTTAGTAAATTAATAATTATTACTTGGAATATACAATGTTCTTTATTATCTATTTAGTAAATGATGTAAATAAGTATTTTCTAAAAATAAAGCTGAGGTAGAAACAAACAGTGTGAACTAAACAAATTATGGGCCTTTTAATAATTTCTGGAGAAAAAGCTACATATTTATATGAATATGTGTGTGAGTGCTAAAAAATCTAAAAGGTTACTTGCTAATATATTGTTATGTGATGTCAAGTCAATCAACTCATAGCTGACCCTCTAGCAGGTTTTCACGTAGAAGGAAACTGTCAACTTTCCCCTGTGAAGGAGCTGACAGAATAAAAACTGGGTTGGCAGTATAATTCCTTACCACTAGGCTACCAGGGTGCCCCTAACATGATATAGTTGACCATCACTGTTTCAGGTTTATATCATTCCAAAGATTTTTAACAGAGGTCACTTCTATCCTCATTACAATGGACAGAGACTTACAAGTGGAGGTTTCTCCTTCTCCCTATATCGATTTATCTAAAGTTTGGTAAGGCCTGTTAAACATATTGCTGCAAATGACGGCTATTGTCATCCTGCACATTTTGATAAAAAAAGGAACATCATTGAGGGTACCATGGACTACTAGGAAAACAGATTTATCCTGAAATGGATTAAACCAGGCTACTCCTTGGAGGCAAGGATTCTGAGACTTCGTCTGACATATTTCGGAGATGTTGCAAGGAGGGACAGGTCAGTCCTTGGAGATGGACATCATGCTTGGGAGGGTGGTGGGACAGCTCAAGAGGGGAAGGTCCTCTACCAGGTGGATTGATTCAGTGATCAGGATGGGTTCATCAGAGGCAGTAAGACTGACACAGGACAGAGCAAAGTTTAGGGCTGTTGTACATAGGGTCATTATGAGTTGCAAGCGACTCGACGGCACATAACAGCAACAACATTCGACATCAACGACTGAAGCTCAATTTCATATGGCAGTCATAAATTAAAAAAATGTGTTTCTAAGCACACTCTTCAATTTAAAAGTGTGCGGCAACATGTTAATGGATACAGGGATTATTATGAGGGACATCATGCTTGGGAAGGTAGAGGGATGGCGCAAGAGGGGAAGACCCTCTATGAGGTGGATTGATTCAGTGACTGGGATAATCGGGATGAGAGTGTCAGAGACAGTGCGATTGGCACAGGACAGAGCAGAGTTTAAGGCTGTTGTACATAGGTCGCTATGAGTCGCAAGTGACTCGATGGCACGTAACAACAACAACAACACAGTGACTACCTGACTATCAAGCAGAATGGCACCTCAGTGTTATAACGAACACGTAAGATTTTAGAGTTGTCCTGAGCAAGCCTGTTGTTAAGGGCCTCTCCAAAACATTGAGGAGCAATGTTACCTGTTTGAAGACTAAGATGTGCCTGATTTAGGACATGGTCCTTTCCAATCACTTGATCTGAGAGCTTGTATACTGAGTCAAGACAGAAGAATTGATGCCTTTGAGCTGTGGTGTTGGAGAACAGTCCTGAATACCCTATGGACTGCCAAAACAACAAACAGAGAAGTCTTGGGAAAAGTGCCGCCAGAGTGCTTCTTCGAGACAAA